GGGGATGGATGGATGGATGGATGGATGGATGGATGGATGGATGGATGGATGGATGGATGGATGGATGGATGGATGGATGGAGTGCCTGGTGGACAGTAAGGACGGGAGGAAGGGGGACTGGAGGGGAGGAAGGGTGGGTGCAGGGGGTGTCTGCAGGGACACACCGGGGCAGCACGGTCACATCTCGCTGCGTGCGCGGCCCTGGGCACGGCTGTGAGCGGGCACAGGGGGGCTCCCCTGTCCTTCACCGCCTTTGCCCCTCTCAGACCGGTCCCTGCAGCAGGACCGAGGTGAGGAGAGCGGGGACGCCAAGCGGGGGAATCGCCTTGAGCAGAGCCCTCGACCTTGGGCTGGAGGAAGGGTCGCAGGGCTGGGCTGGGCCGAGGGAGGTGCCTGCGATCCCTCTGCTCCACCGCCCCTCCGAGCCCTCCCCTTCGCTGCCCCTGTCTGCTCCCTGCACCCAGCGGTCTCGGACAGACAGCTGGAGGGGCAGGGCCGGAGGGATCACCAGCTCCAGCATCCTGCTGGTACTGCCTGGGGGCTGTGAGGTGCCCGAGAAGTTGCTCAGCTCCTGGGAGAGCTGTGGGAAGTTTGGGTCCTTTCCCTTTGTGCCTTTCCTGGCATTGTGAATCCTCCCCTACAGCTCCCGTGGGGCTCTGAGGGGTTCAGCAGCCCGTCCTCTGCTCTGGGTATGGGCAGGATATCCCTTGTGGGTGCCCGTGGGCAGAGCTGGTGGCTGTGATTCTGCTGGATCACAGCAGTTCCGTGAGCTCCCAGCTCCTGGGAACCTTGGCGTGGGTGAGAACCTTGGGACAGGTAAGAACAGCAATCCCTGTCTGCTATTCGGGTGCTGCTCTGCTGCTTCCTCCCCACCAGGACAGCTCAGACTGAGCCTGTGCAGCACTGAGCCCTTGGAGCCTCTCGTCCTGCTGGAGTCAGGCTGAGTGTGCCCTGTCCCTGCTGCTGGCTGGGGCAGGGCCTGGATGGGACAGGCTGAGTGTCCCCTGTCCCTGCTGCTGGCAGGAGCAGAGGGAACACAAGGCTGAGCTGAGGTTTCTCGGGATGGTGCCCCCATGAAGGGCCCTGAACCTCCACAGGGGCTGACAATCGATTTCCCAACTCCAATCCTGAAGAGAATTGCCCAAAGCTCACCCTGCACTGTTGGCTGCTGTGACTCATCCCAGCTGGCTGCTGCCTGCCCAAATGCTGTCCCCGAACCATCTGCAATGGAAGTCTCTGGCTGTTACACTCCTCGTTAGCTGAGGCCCCTCCCTGGGCTGCCTGGGATGATCAGAGCATCTCCAAATTTCTGTCCTTGCTTTGCCAGCCTGAAGTGGTGCCAGACAGGATCCCTTTGGCTCAGGCTCTGGGGTTTCTGTGTTTAGGGTTTGTGTAAGGTTTCCTGTGTGTGGCTGTGCTGCTCTGGGAGAGCTGTGGGAGCACAGGGACCCCTGAGCAGTATGGCCACACTAGGGGCCATCCTGTCTGTCCCCAAAGGGAGATCTGGATTGTAGGCTTGCTCCCAGCTTCAGTGACCACCCTGCCATGGGTGTCCCCTTCTCTATGTGCTCCATCCCAGGGTTTGTGGGTTAATTTTCCAGCAGTTCTCTCCTGGCACTGCCCTCCCTCTGCTTCTGCCCTGAATTCAGCAGCTCCAGGCACACAAAGGTCCTGACAGAGCTTCTTGTCCAGCACTGTCTGCTTGGGGAGCAGTTCCTTGGAATTCCTGAGGGCTGCAGAGTGCCAGGACTGACCACAGCTCCTGAAGGCTCAGCCAAGGGCTGGGCCTCTCCAGCTGAGCCCTGCAGCCTTGGCCGGGCTGTGCTGTGACCTTCCCACTGTCCCCATGTCACAGCACACTCTGACCTGCTCAGTGTCCAGAAGAAGGGTGACGGGAGCAGTGTGGGGATGGCAGGGTGGTGCCAGCCACGCCCGATGGTGCCAGAACAAACCCAGAGCCCAGCCAGGATCTTTCCTGCCCTTGTGGGCTCTGCCCAGGGGCTGGAATTACACCCCAGCCTCCTGCTGCAGGTGGGGGAAAGGAGCTCAGCCCTGTCACCTCCTCCCGTCCCAGCCCTGTCATCTCCTCCCGTCCCATCCCTGTCACCTCCTCCCGTCCCATCCCTGTCACCTCCTCCCGTCCCAGCCCTGTCACCTCCTCCCGTCCCAGCGCTGCCTCCTCCCTTTGCCTCTCCTGCCGAGGATTCCCCTCTCGCAGCTGGCATGGCTGTGCCGATGCCATTCTGGGATTCTGGAGCTGCTCCAGCCCTGGCGCTGCCCCCGGGAAATTCGTGCTGGGAACCTCAGCGCAGTGATCGTTCCAGCAGGGATCAGAACGTCCCGGGTCATTCCCAGGCCAGGAGGGACAGTCCCTGTCCCCAGCCCCGCCCTGTGCCCCCGGCAAGCTGAGGTGTCCCCAGTGTGTCCCCAGTGTGCCCCCGGGCAGGTTGGGGTGTCCCTGGGCACAGAGGCTGCAGGAACCCTGGCTTTGTGTATCTCTGTGTTTATTGACACAGAGGGGACACACCAGCACAGCTTTTGGTGCCAGCTGTGCCACCTGCCACTCCAACTGTGCTGGTCCCTGCACATCTGGCAGCGTCTGCAGCGGGCCCCTGGGGCCATCCCCAGCTGCTCAGCTGGGTGCAGCTGCAGGCCAGAGGAGCTGTGGGGTAGCAGAGCCCCAGAGTGCTCGGGATGAAGGACCTCAGCATCCCGGTCCCCTAGCAACCACACTCTGGTCCCTTAGCAACCGCACGGTGATGCTGTAGCAGGCACAGGCCGGTCCCTTGGCAACCACCAGGAGGGGGGAAAAGGGAGAGCAGAGCAAGGCAGGAGCTGCTGGGGGCTCATCCAGCCTCACCCCGAACCCCAACAGGGACCAAGGGAAGAGTCACGCCCTGGCATCAGCCTCACCCTGCCCTTCCTGCCTGGGGGCAGGGACAAAACCTCCAAGAACCCTCATGGGTTTCCAAGCCAGAAAGAGCAGAAAAGTCTTCCCCAAACCACACACATGGATCCAAACTATCGGATTTCCACAATAAACCTTCCCTGCTGGAAGTTTTGGAATGTGTCCCACTCTGGGAATGATTTCCTGAGGAGTGTTTCGTGATGGGGAGAGGACAGAGTGCAGAGTTTGCTCCTGTGCTTTGGAGTTTGATTCTTCCTGCCCTGTAATCCTCAGCACTGGCCTGCCTGGAATGCCCAGAGCACACAGCCTGGCATCTCTCAGCATCCCTGCCTGGGCAATCCTGCTCCTGGAGCAGCTGCCCCTTCTGGGCTTTCCCCTCTTCCTGGGAGCAGCTGCACCTTCTGTGCTTTCCCCTCTTCCTGGAGCAGCTGGATTTCTGTGCTTTCCCCTCTTCCTGCACAGGGAAAGTCCCAGGGCTGCAGGAAGGCAAAGCCTCAGAGGGGAGCTGTGTCCTGTAAGGGTCAGAGGAAGAAGACCCAGCCCTGCAGGAGTTTTTGGAATGTTGTTTGGAATGTTGTCCCCCAGTCTGGCTCTGCCCCTGTCCCCAGCACCCCCGGGAATGTGGGACTGGCTGGGATGTGACAAAGGTGCTGCTGCTGGCACTGGTGACAGGCTCAGGTGACAGGCTCAGAATCGTGTCTGAGCCAGCCCAGGCTGGGAGCTGGCCTGCAGCAAATCCTCAGCTGTTCCCAAATCCTCAGCTGTTCCCAAATCCTCAGCTATTCCCAAATCCTCAGCTGCTCCCCAAACCCGGCTGGGAGTCCCTGTGGGATCCCCACAGCATCCAGAGGAATCCATGGGCCAGGCAGGAGCAGTGAGTGGGATTTGTGTGTGAGTCACAGCGGGGGAGGCAGAGCTGCTGGTCAGAGCCACGGCCAGAGGTGGATGGGCTTTCACCCTGTGCATCCTCTCAAACAAAAATCACAGCCCCTCTATCCCACGTTTTGCTGTGAAGCTCCTGCCTCACCCTGAGCCGGTGACCCCCCCCTTCCCTGCCTCAGTTTCCCCAGGTGGGGGCTGGATGTGAGCTCAGCCCTGCAGAGGGTGGGGGAGCTGAACGGGGGCTCACCCCAGTGGCTGGGAGGGATGGGGGTGTTCAGCCAGCCTGTGATGAGGGGAGCAGCAGCAGGAATTCACCCCGTGGCTCTCAGCTCTGAGCTTTGTGTGCCCGGGTTTGCTCCTGGTCAGCAGGAGGGTGCAGGGCAGGTTCAGCTCTCTGTGCTGGATGTGCTGGAGGTTTCTGTGCCTCTGCAAAAGGAAAGGGACATTCCTGCCCTCCCATCCAGCAGGTTGCAGCTCCCTTGGGCTGCTGCTGTTCAGGGAATGTGGGGCTGTGTCCCAGCACAGAGCCTGGCACGGGCCGGGAGCAGGGAAGCGCTGCTGCTGCTGCTCCCGAGGCTGCCCCAGGGCCCCGCTGCTCTGCTGCTGCCTCAGGCGCTCCTGTTCCCTGCTCCTTGTCCAGAGGACGAGATCGTGTCCATGGCGGACTCCACCACCACCATGGATGACATCGAGGGGGAGCTCTTCAGGATCGAGCGGATCCGGGAGATCCTGGTGCGCCGGGAGTCGGAGCTGCGCTACATGTGAGTGTCTGTCCCTCTGTGTGCTGTGTGTCTGTCCATCTGTGTGCTGTGTGTCTGTCCTGTGTGCTACCAGTGAGTGTCTGTCCCTCTGTGTGCTGTGTGTCTGTCCCTGTGTGTGCTGTGTGTCTGTCCTGTGTGCTACCTGTGAGTGTCTGTCCCTCTGTGTGCTGTGTGTCTGTCCCTGTGTGTGCTGTGCGTCTGTCCATCAGTGCTGTGTGTCTGTCCCTCTGCGCTACATGTGAGTGTCAGGTCAATCTGGGCAGTGGAAGCTTTGAGCTGCTTTCAGGCTCAGATTTGGGGGGCACAGCTGCCCCTGAACTCGAGTTTGAAAAGGAGTTGTGGAAACATCAGAAGTGCAGCTCCCAAAGGCTTTCCATGGCAGCACCACCTGATGCTCTCAGGTGCTGTCAGAGCTCCAGCTCTGGTGTTTCCTTAACCTTGGTTTGGTTTCTCCCTTGGAAAGCAAAGGGAAATCTGCTGCAGAAACCTCCTGGTGGGCTTGGCTGCCACAGCGATCCCGTGGGGCTGGGACAGGCCAGGAGTGCCTGGCTGGGAGCTGAGGGCGCTGTGGGGGAGCTGTGGGAGATCTGGGGGAGCTGTGGGAGCTCTGGGGGAGCTGTGGGAGCTGTGGGAGCTCTGTGGGAGCTGTGGGAGCTCTGTGGGAGCTGGGGGAGCTGTGGGAGCTCTGGGGGAGCTGTGGGAGCTCTGGGAGATGTGTGGGAGCTCTGGGAGCTCTGTGACCTGGGGGAGCTCAGGCTCAGCTCTGCAGGGCCCAGGATGAGCCAGGGAAGGCTGAGGAGTTCCTGGGCGCTGCTGCTGGAGAGGGGGAGCCCAGAGCTGGGCTCTGCGGCACAGCCTCAGATGGCTGGCACGCAGGGGCTCCAAGGCCCTTTCTGGTCCCCAGTGGGACAGAAGGTTATGCTCAAGGTGGGTGGATGGACTGCAGGGCTCAGGGAGATGGAGAACTAGCAGGGTGAGCAGCTGAACAGGGCAGGGACCCCCATAATAACCAGAGTCTGCTCTTGTGGGCAATGTCAGATGAGCCATGCCAGCACTCCTGGGTGTCCCTGCTCTGGGAACAATGGGGCACCAAACACTTCTCCTTCCCAGGGCAGAAGGAAAGGGTTGGGATTCTGTGGGAGCTGCAGCTCCACCCTGGTCCCTGAGGCTCTCTGAGACTCCCTGGGACACCTGGCTCTGGCTGAGGCTGCCACAGGTGTCACCAGCAGGGGTGGAACCAATCCCAGCCCCAGAGGAGCCTCCTGGCTGCTTGTCCCTGCAACCCCTCCTGATTTTAATTGAAACCAGAATTTATTATCTTTTATTCTCCCTATCAGTGTCTCCAGAATTAATTCCCATTTAAATGCAACAATCATCCAGCTCTCATCTGAGTGTGATTTTCATTTCAATCAGTGTGTCCCCAGCAATCTCTGCTGTCCCTCTGGCCTCCTGGTGCTCTGCACACCCCCTCTGTTATGTTTCATGTTTATACCTTTATTTAATTCTGCAGGAAGGTGGGATGAAAAAGATTTTTTTTTTTTTTTTTTTTTTATGGCAGCAGCTTCCAATTCTTTTTGAATTTGCTCTTTGGGGATTATTTTTCTGGGACCAGGAGAAACACAGCAGCCCTTGCCTGGTGGATGGGCCAGGTTTTGATAAGGCTTTGTTATCATTAGCATATTTAACTTTCTGTCTGCCAACAACCAGAGCCCCAACAAAACTCTGGGATGAAGTGGGCTGGCATTTCCCGCAGAAAGGCAGGAAAATCTGGGATCCCACCACAGGCACTGCCTGGGTGCTGCTCTGGGGGTTTGAGCCTCTCCTGTCCCAGCTTTCCCCCTCAGAGGTCCCGTTTGTGTCCCTACAGGATGGACGACATCCAGCTCTGCCAGGAGATCAGCCGGCTGAAAACAGAGCTCCAGAAACTGCTGGACCTGCCAGGTGAGGCTCTGGGGGTGCTCCCCGAGGGTGCTGGGATCCCTGGGGTACTGGAATCACTGGGGATGATGGGATCCCTGACAGTGCTGGGATCCTTGAGGGTGCTGCTCTCCCCAGGGTGCTGGGATCCCCAGGGTGATGGAATCCCTGACAGTGCTGGGATCCCCAGGGTGCTGGGATCCTCAGAGTAATGGGATTCCTGAGGGTGCTGCTCTCCCGAGGGAGCTGGGATCCCCAGGGTGCTGGGATCCTCAGAGTAATGGGATCCCTGAGGGTGCTGGAATCCCTGAGGGTGCTGGAATCTCTGACAGTGCTGGGATCCCCAGAGTGCTGGGATTCCTGAGGGTGCTGCTCTCCCGAGGGTGCTGGGATCCCCAGTGTGATGGGATCCCCAGGGTGCTGGGATCCCTGGGGTTATGGGATCCCTGACAATGCTGGGATCCCTGAGGATGCTGCTCTCCCCAGGGTTTTGCACTCCTCATCCCAGGGCAGGTGTTACAGGGGTGCTGGGCTCAGGCCAGGCCCAGCTGTGCCCAGCTGTGTCCCCAGCACCTCCTCTGTGCCGTGCCCAGCACACGCCAGAGGCCAGGGTGGCCCTGCCAGGTGCCACAGTGCCACGATGCTGGCTGGGCCTGGCAGCCACAGAGTGCACACAGGCAGAGCCCAGGTGCTGCTCAAGATTCAGGTGCTGCTCAATATTCAGGTGCTGCTCCCCGCAATAAACCTGGCTCGGTGTGTGGATGGAGGCTCAGTGGGGAGGGGAGCATCCTGCCAGGAAAACAGGAGCTCCTTGCTCCACATCTCATGGGGGCTTTAATCCCAACTCCATAAACCAATCCTTTCCCTAAACCAAACCTTTCCCTAAACCACGCCTTTCCCTAAACCACAGCTCAGAGCAGAGATAAATTGTGAGGTTTTTTTGCATCTGGATAAATGAGCCTGGCTTTCCTTCATCTGCTTTGGGCTTTCATTTCTTGCCTTTTCAGTGCTCTCAGACTCAGCTGAGAGCAGAAATTCTGCTTTTTGTTGTCTTTATGAGTTGACTCAGAGCAGTGTGTGCTGGAAAAAGCCTGCACACGTCTGTTCTGGTGAGACAGCCCCGGCAGCTGAGCTTTGGATAAAGACAGGAACACGTCAGTGCTGCTCAGAGCCCGGCCAGGGCCACGGCGCCTTTGGTGACTCAGATGTCACCGTGATGGGCTCTGCCAGCAGCGGGAAGGGGCAGCATCTGTCCAGGGGGACCTTAACCCTGACAGGTTCTGCCTCAGACTGCAGTTTGTTAATTAACGGCGAATAGCCGGTGTTAATGAACCCCGAATACCGGTGTTAGTGAACTCCAAATACCGGTGTTAAAGAACCCTAATAGCCGGCGTTAATGAACGCCAAATACTGGTGTTAATGAACCGCAAATTGCCGGTGTTAATGAACCCCAAACAGGGGTGCTTGGGCCTGATGCCCTTGGGGTGGCCCTGTCCCAGCCGGCAGTGCGGGATGCTCAGAGACAGCGCCCAGGTGACTCTGCACTGATTCAGGCGGTGGGAGAGCCCAGGGAGAGCCCAGGAGAGCCCCAGGAGAGCCCCAGAAGAGCTGTCACATCCAGCCAGGGCAGCTGGGACGAGATTCCTCTCGTTGAGCAGCCCAAGCCTGGATTCAGCGGCTCCCTTGGGTTGGCTTTGCCCCCATGCTTGGAGCTGAGCAGAGCAGGACTGGCCTTGGAGGGTGGGGTGGCCCCTGTGGAGTGTGAAATGTGCTCCCTGTGAGGATGTGAAAGTGCTCCCCGTGCTGCAGAGAACCAGAAATCCAACGAGGAGAAGCAGAGGGAAGAACAGCTGGTGCAGCAGATCCACAAGCTGGTGGAGACGCGGGATTTCCTGGTGGATGACGTGGAGTTTGAGAGGCTCAGGTAGCTGCTGTCACCTGCTGCTCGTGCTGGGGACTCTGCAATCCATCCCCTGAGCTGGGTCCTGCCTTCCCAGGGCTTCTGGGGCCCTGCTGCTCCTTTCCCAGCAGTAACCGAGTTCTTTGTCACACACAGGGAAAGGGAAGAGGACAAGGAAATGGCCGAGTTCCTGCAGAGCAAGCTCTCCAAAAGCTGCCTCCAGAGAACGAGTGGGTGCTGATGTGTTCATTGCCTGCACTGACCCTCCCTGGGGTTTGTCCCCTTCCCAGGCACTCTGCCCCCAAGGTTTCCCTGCCTGGGGGAGGGTGGGCAAAGGGCACGGGGGTGCTGCTGATTGAGGTCCCAGCATGGGGGCTCAGATGTTGGGGACTGATTTCCCTCCTGGCATTTCCCACATGGCCCCCGAGAACGGGGCTGGGGGAGTTTCTTAGAGTTGCCAGCTTTCATTTCCCCTGGAACACCGGCTCCACCTGGGGAGGGTGCAGATGGACACTACTCCTCTGATGACAGCCACCCCTTCCCTGTCCTCTGCCACCTCCCCAGGGTGATGGGAAGCACTCCCAGCCCTGGGGACACCCAAAGCCCCAGGGGACACCCAGAGCCCTAAGGCAGTGCCATGGAGGTGCAGAAGCTCCTGCCTCGGGGTCAGCAGCAGCCCCAGAGCATCTGTGAGCAGCAGCCCCTCCTGTGTCCTGTCCCTGTCCCCAGGCACAGCAGTGTCCTCTGCTGTCCCTGTGTCTGTCCCTGGCACAGCAGCACCTCCCGCTGAGCTCTGTCTCTGTCCCTGTCCCCAGCAGCAGCCCTGGACTGTCCCTGTCCCAGGCAGAGCAGTGGCCCTGGGCTGTCCCTGTCCCCAGCAGCAGCCCCTGCTGTCCGTGTCCCTGTCCCCAGACACAGCTGCTCCTGTTCCTGCAGCTCCTGTCCCAGAGAAGAAGATGACATCGAGGGGACAGCAAACCTCGGCTCCCTATGTGACCAAGACGGGGCTGGCCCTGCTCAGGGGGTGCTGTGGCTTCACCTGCTCCATCATGTAGGGCACTGCCAGCGCCTGGCACAGGACACGGCCGTGGTAGGGGCACGTCCTGGGGACACGGGACAGGCAGGAGGGGCTTCCTTGCAGCTGATCCTGTCCTGGAGCTGATCCTGTCTTGGAGCTGATCCCAGCCTGGGGCTGATCCTGCCCTGGAGCTGATCCTGTCCTGGAGCTGATCCTGTCCTGGGGCTGATCCTGTCCTGGGGCTGATCCTGTCCTGGGGCTGATCCTGTCCTGGGACTGATCCCATCCTGGGGCTGATCCCGTCCTGGGGCTGATCCCGTCCTGGAGCTGATCCTGTCCTGGGGCTGACCCTGCCCTGGAGCTGATCCTGCCCTGGAGCTGATCCTGCCCTGGAGCTGATTCTCTCCTGGAGCTGATCCCAGCCTGGAGCCGATCCCATCCTGGGGCTGATCCTGTCCTGGAGCTGATCCCATCCTGGGGCTGATCCTGCCCTGGGGCTGATCCTGCCCTGGGGCTGATCCCAGCCTTGAGCCTATTCCATCCTGCGCTGCTCCAGAGACTCTCCAGGGCTGCTGTGCTTGGCCCACAGGGATTTGCTTTGTCCCACACATACCACAGGCTCCAGTCTGTCCTGCCCTCCCAGGCCTCACTGGGACAGTGAGTGACCCAGACAGAGAGTTTGGTTGGGCTGAGGGCAGCCAGAGGCCAGGAGAGCCCTGGGTTCCAAACCTGACCCTCTGGAGGCAGCCTGGGCTGGAGGCAGTGCTGGAGGATGGGCAGGTCTGTCTGTGTGTCCCCTGAGGATGGGCAGGTCTGTCTGTATGTCCCCTGAGGATGGGCAGGCTATGTCTGTGTGTCCCTCCGTGGCCCTGAGGCTGCTCCCCAGGCACACAGAAGTGCTGGGAGGGCTGGGAGAGGAGCTCAGCCCATGGAGGGACACAGCTTCACGTTCATCCACCTCAACCCCAACCAATAAATGTCTGCTGGAAGCTCTGTGGGTGTTTTCACTCCTGGGACTGCCTCAGGAGATGGCTCAGCTGTGGGCACAGCAGGGTGGGCAAGGGGTGTGTGCTCAGCAGGGTGGGAAAGGGGTGTGTGCCCAGCAGGGTGGGCAGAGAGGAGCAGAACCTGACCCTGAACAGCTGGGCTGCACTTAGGAGCTCCTGGAGTGCCCAGAGCAGCTCCTGCTGCTGCCGCAAGAGCCCAACCCTCCCATTGCTGGCTCTGAGCCACACTTCACTTTTGGTCCCTCAGTGTCCTCACCAGCCCCTGGGGACAGCTGTGTCTCCATCCATCCATCCATCCATCCATCCATCCATCCATCCATCCATCCATCCATCCATCCATCCATCCATTCATCCCTCACAGGAGGGGACAGCCCTGTCCCCATCCATCCCTCACAGGGCAGTAACAGCTGGGTCCCCATCCATCCGTCACAGGGCAGAGCTGCTCCTGTCCCATGAGCTCCTGCCACCACCCAGAGGGTGGCACCCCCGTCGGTGACAGGGTGGCTGTGGCTGAGGACAGCTGAGTCACCTCTCGGGGGGGTGTGGATGGCCCTGTCCCTCTGGAAATGTCACAGCTGAGATGAGATGGACAGACACAAAGGCCCTGCATGCTCTGTGCTCCAGGATGAGTCAGGAGCTGATTTTCCAGAGCAGGAGCAGCTCCTGGTGGCACTGCCAGTGTCTGTGAGGCCTCTGGGACTCCGAGAGCCACGCAGGGCTCACTCCCTTCTGCTTTTCTCTCCTCTGCTGCTGAGTATCGGGCTCACAGAAGAGCAGGGAAGATCAGCAGGAAATGAAGAGATGCTTTAAATATTTGCTATTTCTTTAGTCTGCAATTTCTGCAGGTTCTCTCATCCTCTCCTGTCCCTGCCCACCCTGCTGCTGCCTCGCTGGCAGGGCAGGCTCTCACAGAGCTCGGCCACGCTCCTTCATGTCCTCCGTGAAGTCCTGGAGGTCGTGGATGAACTGCCGGATCTGGGGTGGGAGAGGGACAGGGCAGGGTCAGGCAGCAGTGGGGGCAGGAGGCAGAGGGAGCCTGTCCCTCCTGCAGGGCAGATGATGTCCCTGAGCTAAGTGACAGGACAGGAAAGCACTAGAGTGTGCCTCTGTGGGGGAATGGAACCAAATCTTGGCCATGGCTGGACCTGCATCACTGGACCCCTGAATGCATGTACCTTCAAATCCTTGCATCCCTGAACCCCTGCACCCCTGAACCCTGTATCCCCACATCCCCACATTCCTGCATCCCTGCACCCCTGTATCCCCATATCCCTGCATTCCTGCATCCCCTGTCCCTGCACCCCCATATCCCCACATCCCTGCACCCATGAACCCTTGCACCCCAGCATCCCCATATCCCTGTATCCCCACAACCCTGCATTCCTGCATCCCCTATACCTGCATTCCCACATCCCTGCACCCCCATATCCCTGCACCCCTATCCACACCTGGTCCCCACTCCCCTGCTCAGAGTGACAGGTTTGCCTGCTGTCCCCACCATTCCTGCCAGGGTCCCCAGGGGAGGAGGGGACTGTGCTGGGCCAGGGGGCTCCCCTTGCCCTGGGGGAGCCATTCCTGCTGTGTGTCCTGGCCAGGATGAGGCTGTGCTGGGGCTGTGCTGGGGCTGTGCTGAGCTGTGCTGGGGCTGTGCCTGGGACTGCGCTGTGCTGGGGCTGTGCTGGGGCTGTGCT